GTTTGAGTCGAAACCAGAGAAATGTGAAATCTTCTGGTACTGTTTTGAAGCTGAACCTCCAGGATACCTAGAAATGACTCACCCTTCGTTAGGATTGTCCACACGAGTTGGAGATCCTGCACGACTCTGACATCTGCTACGCATCACTCTCGCATATGCGGGTCTAAAAAACCGTTAACATTAACCACGAGTCTGTTAAGCGTTCAGACTTCGCGACGGCAGCGCTTCCGGTCGCGCGTTTGACGCGATCGATGCAGTCGAAAGCATGCGCATCGATCGCGTCGAACAATGCGCGTGCTTTCGACTGTATCGATCACGTCGAACGCGCGACAGACGCGCTGCCATCGCGAAGTCTGAACGCTGCCTTATTGAGTACTTATAGCAAAGGTCACGAAATGGGCCCATTCACATAATTTATTACAATTTCTTCCTAGTTTCAACATGATACTTTAATGACCTGGGCAGTTTGAACGACGGTAGCATGCTCAAATTACGAGCAAATCTAGTTCACAACAAAAATATGATTGATGTAATTCAACCCGACACGACTAATCAATACTCAAGTCTCGAATGAAATGCACGACCGCATGGTTAAGAAATGAAACGTGACAAAACATACTGTGCTTCCTCTTCTTCGTCATCGTCTCGTGGAGTACGCGGTGTACCGTCGGCATACATCGACGGCGATCGTATCGGTGCCCAGCTCATGCCTGTAAATCAACAACAGCATTTGTTCCTTCAAAAACCTGTGCAGTTGAGTATAAAGTAGAGGTAAAGGACATGGGAGCATGAAGAACTCATAGATGTTGGGCCTCGTGAGACCCCCTCCCCCAGCTGAGTTATCTTTGCTGCACCACTAATCTGGGCGCGAGCGTAGATTTTTGGCAATAGTGGAGCAAGCCGTACCGCCTCTATATCCCTCCCTCTCAGGGGTTCAAGCTTGATAACTCCGCTGAGGGGTTTCGAGGGTGTCTTTAGTCTCGAGTCGTGATAAGCAACCCGGCAAAATCATTCCCACCAGGATCCGATCAATTAAACAAGGCGCAGCTGTGCCTAATCAACTAGCTGAGAAATACTAATCCACACGCAATGCCGTAACTCGGAACTAACGACAAGGGGATACGGCGCTTTTTCGAGTGGCGGCACCTGGCGTACTAGCATAGTGTTTCCCAACTAGTTAGTCCGACAGACATAGGCACAGAGAGAGCTAATCGACTTGAGAGACGCAGACGCAGAGAGAGAGTCGATATAGTCGGCGCGCCGCAGCGTTGTTACACTGAGTGAATTGGGTCCTAGTGCGAATGCTGCGTACGTCATTCCGCCTGCAACGCCTCTTTGGTCGCGCTGCCTCGGAAGTAGAGCTTTACACCAACGACAGACATTCAAGTATGGTAGAGCATACATATCACGCAAACGCATCCTCCAAACCACTTGGCGCATGCAGACGCGCTCACACAATATAAGCCCCCGAACCCTTCTTCCTTGACCATGGTGAATAGCTCGCCCTCTGCGCCTCTCACCTTACTAGTAGAATAGCTTTGGTTGGATTTTTCGGATCCTTTTATGGGTCGGTCCTGCATCGACACCCTAGGTACCGTGAGGTGCAACACTTCCCCCAACACGCCAGCGTCTCTGTGAGGGACGCAGACAGTCATCGACTCAACTCAGGTGGGGTAGTTCTCATTCACACCATGCATTTATGCAAATAGAGCTTGGCTGGAGCTGCCAGCAACTCCACTCAAGCATGAGCAGTAGGTCCCGAAATCTGACAGCGCCGCAGTCGCTCGCTTCTTTACGGCTCAAAAGTAGTGAGTTCGTGGCTTAACAGCTTGAGAATTGTGGAATTGGGTCATAAATGCCATATTTGTCGATGAAGCTGATGTACTGTCGCCCAAGTTCAAGGCGCGGGCTCACGTGACTACGCACAGTGGCCAAATCGATAATGCGACGGGGATAGTCATCGATTTTGCGGTGCTGACGAGCACGCCAACGTGGCGCTGCCAATGTTTATACTTTGCGATACGAGGTTTTGAGGATGTGTGCAGAGGACAGTAAAGTTAGGCATCACTGAGAACAGGAGATTCGGGGATAGGAGAGTTCACATCAGTGGATTAGTTGGGAATCGATCGGACTGGGATCTATGGTCTCCCAGTTCGCTGGCGCTGCAGAGCAGACCTATCCAATCCAATCGTATGGCGTACACACCTTCACTCTCCAGTGCCGCAAAGTATAAACGCGGCCTCATGCTCGGCGGAACGTACTTTTAGCGTGACGAACCGGCCCCAAAACTCCGATGATAGATGCGCCCCATCACAAATTGCTGATTCTCACTCCCAGACAGCAGGATTGAGACGTGGTTTCCCAGATTGCAAGAGAGCGCCAACGTAACAGCGCGGACTACGCGGCTGCGCCTGAGCGCTCTTTCTCGTTGTCATTCCTTGGGCATAAAGCAGGCGAGAACGGCCTTGAGTTTTGGGAGCGTGTTCATGAACAGAGGTAAGAGTATTTTGCCCAAGCCGAGGAGGAGCAACTTCGGAATGGACAGACCCATTCCTTTGCACAAAAGGGTTACTAGTGATCCGTTCATGTGTACAGTTAATATCGTCACAATCAGTCCTGGCCGTTTCAAGAGGGGATGGAATGAGCCCAGACGCAGCGTTTCCACCACTAGTTGTTTATTAGCGAACTTGATCACTAACCGATCACCATTGGTAGAGCAACGCAGCAGCTCACTCCGCCCTTCCAGCCCCCCCCCCCTGACTGGTTGCGACATTATCGAGTGTATTAGTTTAGAATAGAATAGAAAACGTCTGTAACGACACATGTGGCAAATCTTCCCTTACAACTTCCCCCATAAGTCAAATCGCGTGTTAGAGGGGTGCGGACACCTCCGTACGGCTATCAGAGAGAACCTTTAGCAGAGTAAAACTGATTATATAGAGTGGCTGAAACGGAAAAAATTCGTCCCAAAGTCTGGCGACTCTAACACAGGGAGAGTGCGCAAAGAAGGGACTCTGAGTCCCTTCCTTGCGCACGGTCTCCCCTCGTTGTGTGTTCTCCAGCCATAATATGGCCCACCAAAAACAATGTCGGTGAGTCAGTTCGAGACCTACCATGGGAATCGTTCAGATCGTCCTCCTCTCGAGGTTTCCTCGGCGTCCTTGAACCGTTAGGTGCTGGAGTTCTGGAACCTGGCTGTGGTGTTGCGACTTTCGATGATCTTCTTGATGACTCCGGGCCAGGTACGTGATGATTATTGCGTGGATCATCATCGACCAACACAGGAATGATATAGAGTTTGCAGTAGGAGGCGAAAAAGATGTCGTGCCGAACCGCAGCCAACGATAAGTCTTTCCGCACCGATTGAAGCCGCTGAAAACGAATCAGTAAGTTCATGGAACCGTCAAACATGAGCTGATTGGGTACTAATGCACCGTCGTTATCACAGAATTCGTCTTTCCCCATTACACTGATGCCATCGATAGCCGCATGGTCAACTGGAAACGGGAGCTTGACGCTGCCTGACACGCCCATACTGGCTTCAGTGATAAAGACTCTAACTGGGAGCAGGGGGACAAGCGGCAACATGGTTGCGACTGTTCTTTGCGTCGCTCATCAAAATAGCGATCCCTTTCTTCTTCCAGGCTTCAGGCTGTTTCTTCGCTTCGCGAGGACGTGCTGCAACGTGCGTCAAACAATGCGCTGCAGCGCGTCAGAGCTACAGACAGCCGAATCCAGTTGGCGAACAACAACTTGAGAGCGACTGGGGGCCGCAAAGGTTTTGCGAGAGTATGAGGAATATAAGGGTTGCCGCGATCACGCAGCGTCGGCATTCGATGCGCTGCGTTTTTCTTCGTTTTTGGAGAGTATCATATAAAGCAGAGAGGGTACCCAGGTTATCGTGAAGGCATGCGTCTCCCTCCGTTGTTATTCTAGACACTCTCTCAAAGACAGCAAACAACCGGCGCCGATCAGTATCAGAACTGTGTGACTGACATGCCTTACTCTCATAAATCCCCCATACGCCCCCCTTTAAAACACAAGCGGATGATTGCTGTTGCGCGGCTGCGTTTCATTCGCGTTCATAAGCAGAACAGGGCGCTGTTGAAAACTGAAGCGCGATCGGACGCGCGTTAAAGCGCTATACAGCAAGTCATCGCGAAGTCTAGGACCGTATGTTATACTCCCCCAGAAGAGGAGACATCCCGCAGAAAACCTCCGCTCCATGCCGTTGACTCTATCAATGCCCCTCGTTTCTCTGTTTCTGCCTCTCTGCGTCTTTGCTCCCCATTTCTCGCGAAATCTATCCCAAAAACCTTGGGGAGAGGTGATAATATCGGTTATACTCTGCGCTGTACCATATTCGCATAGAGCGTGCGCCAAAAGAGTATGGAGGCAGGGTGTGAGAGAGTCAGAGAGACGGGGCGAGGGGCATCAGTACAGATAATAGCAGAAAGTGGAGATTTGTTGAGGGATATCTTCTCACGAGAAGGTATAGCCTACGGTTTCTTGAATGCTGCCTCAGTCTCGTTAAGAGCGCAGACGACAAATGTCGCTATGACCTAATCTGGACGTCTGAGCACGTGCCCCCCTCCGTCCGCCTCACCCCAATCAACTAAGTCAGAATTGCTGATAGGAGAAAACCTACACCGTCCTTTTTCGTTTTACATTGGCATGATGCCGTCATACTCAAGTTGAAGAAATGCATCCCACAGGAACAGCAACGATAGTGATAGTGCCTGTTCCTTAATGATGACAAGAATTACGTCAAAAATAAGCGCTTTGGCACTGAATGACAAGATATTACCCGTTTGTCTTTGCAAAATGTGACGCGAGATGCTCTACAACCGAAACTATGGAAAAATGTCTATCACAACGGCATTCTTGAAAGCCACATCTATATCGAAGACACTTTCCTTTTGGTATAGGAACCTAAAAGTACACTTACATTCACAGTCTAGTAGACGTATTATAGCTAACTTACATCCTCCATTCTTTTTCAGAGTTTTTTTTTCTCAAAAAAGTGACGCTAGACGTAGACAGAATAGACCATCAGGTGGAATGACGATTTTCTGAACAAGAAGAAAATAATGAGGCAATATTTATAAAAACTGTCGTAAGAGAATCGAGACACGTATAGAATTAGAAATTGATACTTCAGGCCCACCGGGCGTTTCGATGGAACCATAGCGCTGAAAAAAAATCGGGGACGGGAAGAAGCACTCTAGAGCCTCTTTGTCCATTTCCACTCGACTAGGGCTTAAGCCTGCAGCTCTCAAGTTCCGGGGAGTCGCAAAGACTGTTAATTATTCTGCGGTAATGTCGGCGGCGACTCTAGAAGTTTGCGCTCTGACAATGAGACTAAGGCAGCGTTCAGACTCCGCGATAACGCGCGTCATCGCAAAGTCTGAACGCCCGCAAGTGTCGCTCAGAAAAAGGGCACAGAGGTGTGGTGAAGTGTCTGCTCCAAATACGTCAGTCGAAGAATCTGTGGGAAGCGTTAGGGTGCGTTTATACTCCGCCACTCGTGCGATTCAGCCGCTGAACTCAAGCGACTGCGACCAATCGTAGGACCACCGCAATTCCTAATACATCCACGTTTAGAACAGAATATCTTCCGTGCATTTATACCAAGCCCCGCCCTCACAGCCACCAACGGACTATACGTCGGCTCATGGACAACTCCACCCACTTTTCAAAGGAATAGTTACAAACTTCCACCTGTCATGTCTTTTTTAAGGTCATTGTTTTCATTCCTTTCTTTTCATTTTC